GCTGGTGCTGTCCTGGGAATTCAGAAGTGCAGAGCAATGTTCCTGTGTAGCAGAAGGTGATGACCCTCAGGTGCATCATGCCCCTGGGAGGTCACATTACAGCACAAGCCATGAGCCTGTGCATGGCCCTGCTGCACTGGGGAGATGGAGATGCTCCTGCATCCACGCCACACCGCAGTGCCTGGTTTCAGTCTCTGCTCTGCAGAGTCACATTGTGCAGCAGTGTGAGATGCACACAGGAGTGGAAGCTCTCTGACACCGCAGTAATCAGGCAAGCAAATGCCTCAGCTTGGAGCAAGAGCTTAAAAGAAAAGCAGAAGACGAAGTCAAAGGAATCCCACAAGCAGATGGCTCTGTGTTTGCCTCATTTAATATCTCCCACTCCTCCCTGCGTGACAATTGCGGCCGTGGAATTTCTGAAGATAGGAAAACCTTAGTCCAAAGCCTGCCTTAAGCATATAAAGGACAAGTATCCTCAGCATTAAAAACAGCACCTCTCTGGAGAATAGAGGTGTCATATGTGTGCAAGTCTTTAACTCGTGCTATTTACTCAGGCATCCTCCAGAGACTGCTAATTAATGTGGAGCTTTGGGGCACAAAAATATTTTGATCTAGGCTGACCAAAGCTCCTCCTTGTTTATATTAAGAACTGTTCTTTTATATTAGATGTGCTCATTTTATTTTCCAATTCATTCTCTCCACTGCTGGTGTCTCTGATCTGTTGCTTCTAATGAAGCCAAGCATCATCCTCATGAAAATTCACATAATTTGGTAGTCAGTAATAACATAAAGGCAGCTGCATCTGGGCTACAACCCTGCAGGTCTGGGGGATCTCAGGCCCTGTGAGATATAAAACAGTTTTGAAAAATTTCTTCTCAGAAGGAATGGTTATGCAGTGGTACAGGCTGCCCAGGAAGGTGGTAGAGTCACCATCCCTAGTGGTGTTCAAGGGCAGTGGAGATGTGGTCCAGAGGGATGTGGTCAGCAGGCATGGTGATGATGGGTTTGTGGTTGGACTAGATAATCTTAGTGCTCTTTTCCAACCTTAATGATTCTACGTGCAGAGTGGAGATGTCACTTGACATCAGGTGAGCACTGTCCATTCTCCCATGCTGTCAATGTTTTGCTCCATGATTTTCACCAGTCATTTTCCTGGTCTTTGTCAGAAGTGGTGAGAATGTGACTTCTCTGTGCTTTGAGGTCTCTGAACATAATGCAGTAACCATTCTTACGTACTAAGGCTTTAAAAGAAAGAGCGAAAATGCCACCTCAGTTCAAGTGCTTAAACACGCCGGGTTTGCCTAAGGTGGTCCAAGAGTCAGGCTTACGTAAATCAACACTTTTTAGAGGAGGAGAAGAAAACAATGCAGGATAAGGGTAAACTTTCTGCACTTGAGAATGTTTCTCCCCCGTTCCCTCGGCTGTGTTATACTATATATTATCACTGTCATCAAAAGGGGTGTGTGTAAGAACTTGAAAAACCAAACGAACCTGTCTGCAAGGTGTTCCGTATATCACAGTCCCACAGGTGGCTTTATTTCCAAGCACCGGGCTGTGCTGCTGCTGCCTCCTGCTCCCCCTGGCTCCCAAGACTGCTTCTGGATTTAGCTGCTGCATCGGGAGTAAGCGCCCGCCTGCAAGTAAGCTCCGTTTCTTTCTTGAAGTTGCTGTTTTCAAAAGAGCTGTCAGCTGCCAAGGTGTTTAGTTGTGATGATTTATCAGGAGCTCAGCTGATGTGCTGCCTGCCACTCTTACTGCGCATCACCTCCTTTCTTAATGATAAACAATTGATTTTGGCTTAATGAATTAATAGAGGAGACACGCGTGAACCTCAACAAATGCTTTTTAATAAATTAACAATCTAGGCCTGTCTCATTAAATCAGAAGAGAATGTTTGCAATGTGACAGCTAATTAATCGCTTCTTCCAACCAGCCACCATCTGGGATAAAGCCAACACTGTAAAGCTCTCCTTTTGTTTAAACAAGTGAATGCCTCTTCCCCTTTCTGTTTCCCAAAAGTGGATTTAAGCGGATACCCATGTGTGTATCTAAGCAGCACCAGCTAACAGTGAAATGTCATTCGACGTGACCCAAACCAACATCCTGTTTGCATAACGTATTTGAAAAGAGATTACCTTTGTTAGTGATGTTAAGAATTAACATTATTTTCTGGAGCATACATAGATCTGTGTAGGAGCAACTGCATATAAGCTGCATATGGGTAAAACAGGATTTTTCCTTCCTAAGTGGCTTTTGCTACCTGTCACAGCACACGGCCAAGCTGTTGGATGTGAGGCTGGCAGTTCTGCCCCACACCCAGGAGCCCAGGCCCAGTCCTCAGTGGGAGCTGTGGCTGCCCTTCCTCTCACAGAATTGATTTCCCAGCTTGGATAAATAATTTTCCTCACAGGGAACTACAAAATCAAGCATGTGACTCATTCAGAACTATTCTAAAACCAATGGCTTCGGATCTGTTTCACACCGTACTTTGCTCTCTCTACTTCATCCATCATCCTGGGTATCATTCCACCTTGTGCAAATCTACTTTCCATCTTGGAAAAATCATCATGAAAATTCACAAACCAGGCACTGAATCTACTAATCTGTCATTAATGTTTGGATAGTGATGATGAAAACAATAACAACTTCATCCTTCTCTCTGGGTTAAGTCTTATCCAGATGGAGAAGTGATTATAGTCTTCAAAGGTAATATATTCTTTTGTGTAAGCCATTACTATTTTCAACTATTTTTTTTTTCTTCTAAAAGCACTAGCCTAAAAAAAATTCAACCAAGAAATGGTTTTTACTGTTAAGAGGATGTGTCAGTCCTTCCTCTCACATCTTTTTCATTTGTATTTCTAGCAAGCTTGTGAAACTGTCAAATAGAAATTATTTTCTGCTGACAAGCAAAATAAATATACAGTGAAATTCTGTCCTTGATGAGTTTTAGGGGAAAAATGTCTTGAGAAGGACTGAGATTTCATTCCAGATATTCCCATCTCTGTGTGAAATCTTATTTATGGGCAGACCAGTGTTGAGAGTGGGGGAGATGCTTTTCCAGGTTAGCTTAGCAATCATTCTTAAGGCACATTTCTCCAATTACCTGCAGAGATATTTTATTCACTTTTCCAAAATTGAGTTGGCTTTGGAGGTTTTCTTTCTGCCTGTTGGGTTGGTACCAGGGTGTATTCACAGCCAGGTGATCATTGTGCCGTTTGGGACGACTGTCACAGGAAAATAGGGTGTGCTGGCTGCCAAGGGAATGGTTGGGAACATCATTGTTGCTGCACGTGTCCTGGACACCTCTTTCTTTCCTATGTTTCCAATTTAGCACAGCTAAACTGGAATCACCTACTGCACAGAGGGAGGTACTTTTCTAGCAGTGTCCTGTCATTACTGAAGTGAGTTATCAGTGATTTGTAGTTCTCCCTGCCTTCTTCCCTGTTCCGTGAGCTTCTAACCAGCTCTTCTGCGTGTGCCTGTCCTGCCACCCCTTGGTGATAAATGAGTGGTGAAATTCTGCTGAAGTTTACAAAAAAAAAAAAATCCCACTGATTTCAAGAGCCTCAGAAGTGTTTTCTCTGTTGTGGCAAACAGTAATTTCCATTTGCATAGGTAGTAACATGAAGTCTCAAATTTCTCAAATTTAGAGGTCTCAAATCATTTTTCAGAGACAACTGTGCTAACATGCTTGCTCCGTTGTACAGAATGGTTGAGTTCATTCTACCTGACTGTGAATTTCAGAATTCTGTGTATAGTAAGCCAACATCATCTCATTCCAATAATGCAATTAAGTGCAAAAGCAATTGCAGAAAAATCTGAGTAAGCATTTTATGCTCATTTTTGTTTGGATTATGTTACGCAGCAACTCAGAAAAAAAGCCACTGTTTCCACATTCTAAATGGTTTGTAAACAGATATGACATTAGGGACCACTCAGTCAGAGGAGTAAAAGAGTCCTATTGTGACCATCACTAGTTCTGAAAGGCAGAGGCAGCTTAGGTCCGAAGAAAAGGAGTGAATTGTCTTGAGCAGCTGTTTCTGAACTCTGAAAGGCAAGAGCTCAAATCAGGTCCACTTTTGTCTTCACAGCAGTTAGTCCATGGAACAATTCCTGTCTTTCCCAAAGAGGAAACTAGGACATAAGGCACTGTGCTTTTAAAATCCACTTCATTATTTCCTTCAAGCCTTCCAAACCATCACCTTTCCTACTGCATGTGGGAAGCTGTGGGGGTTTGGGCATCGTGAGTCTTGGCCGTGAAGAACAGAAAATTGCATGTGTTTGTACTCGTGTATGTATGTGACATAGGCAGAATAAAGTGGGATGGACCACAAATTCTCTTCTCTGTGCCAGCTTTTGTTTCTACCATATAGATCATGTTTTCACCAACCACTACTATTTCATTGAAATTTCACCAATTCTCAGCTACTTTATACTGCAGTCATCTCATTTTTGGTGCAAGAATCCTCTTCCTTGAAACATGAAACATCTGAACTAGTTCCCTAATTTTCCACCTAAATTCTTAGTTTTCCTCAGACTTTGTTCATCTCCTCACGCTTTAGCCTGGCTGACATTTATGACAGTGTGTTATAGACACAGTGAACATCCTTATGGCCAGAATGATGTTTTCTCATACATGGGGACTTTTTTACCACCAATCTCATACAGTCATAGTGTCAGTCATCTACATATTTCTAATTATTTTATGATTTGTTTAATAATTTATTTGTCACTTTTATTTTTGTATGTATACATTGCATTTTCAAACCCCTAGGAATGTGTCATTCCAATCATTTTGACTGCAAGTCTACCTATGGTGTTTTCATCAGCTGCATTGCTCCTAAATGTCTTACTTCATTTTATTTACTGCAATTTTCAAAAGATCATTAGCTTCAACTGAAGTTTATGTGGTGGCCATTGGTACATCACAGATCTATGCATTCACAGCAAGGAAATAATGCTGCTCTACTTAAAAATTGCACTCTTAATATTACCTTTTCGTCTTCAACTAATGTATTGCTGTCTCAAGGTGATGCTGGATTCAGTAACACCCAGCACATTTCTGTCAAACACGATGGTTTGTGATCCCCTGATGTCTTGGACAGAGATATTTGGGACAACTGAAGATGACTATCCCACCTGTGACCATCAGACAGGTATGTAGATAGAAACTGAAATTGAAAAGAATGTGCATTTTCAATAACTCAAGGTTAATTTGAATTTAATTTAGTTCAAGATAAACTGAGTAGCAAACAGGCTGAGCCCTCTCTTGTACTCTTTTCTTAGAATCACAGAACAGCCTGGGTTTAAAAGGACCATAATAAGTATCTAGTTTCAACCCCCTTGCTATGTGCAGGGGACCTTTTCTGGTCCAGTGAACTTTCTCAAGCATATTGCTAGCTTACAAAAGATCAAGGTGCACAGAAAGAATAGTGTTTTGTGTTTAAGTGATGTTTTCCCCCCATTTAACAAGGTGATATATGTAATGCAAGAAGGAACCCCCAAAGGAAAGTGTAGTCAACAAGGAGAGAAAGGCAGCAATTGAAAGGCATTTCAATTCAAAATTTCCTTCAAAAAGGAAAGATTCTTGACTTCTTGTTTATCCCATCTGCCTAGAATGTAGAATTTGTCCCTGAGATCACTTCCATCATACAGAACTTCAGCCACATACTGAGCCAATTGTTTGTGATGAATGTCAGTGACCAGATCACACACGTAGCTGCCAATAACTGGGATTTCAAAAGCCACTGGAGAACTGTGTGGGTCTAGAAACGCATCAAATTCTCCTCTGGAGAATTTACCAATGTTAAGTGTGCAGTTCTCTGACTGCGAACATGGAGACCCTGCACTTCACTGGGCTGCACACCTCACATGGTCATCCCAACTCTGCAAAGGAATTCATTCTAAATCTCCCTTCCAAACAGTCAGTCAGACTGTTCCTGAACAGTCCTTCTCTGTCTGAATCATTCAACAGTTCTGTAAAGAAAGGTAACGCAACCAAGTCACAATACTGAGCCAGCCTTGTGGTGAGATCTGGGGAAGATTTATGGTTTTATGCAGTATTTTTCTCTTTGGAAGCTATTTTTGTCCTCTTAAGTGAGAACAGTGTTGGCCTTATGGAAAAGTACTTTCCTGCTAAGGCATGGTTTGAGTAATAAGGAACAAAATTTTCCACAAAGCTTCTGTTGGTGCTAATCCATGGCCATTGAGGACTTAGTGTTTGTTTCCATATGGCTGAATTTGTCCATTCCATGTTTGTATGATATATGAGGTAGAATATAAATCTTCTTGCTTCAACTATAAGGCTGTTCTTTAAAGCCCTGTAGGAATTAAATTTTTACTTAAATATATATATAAACTATATATAGTTTTAATATTAGTTTTCATTCCAACTTAGAATGAAATTCTAAAGTTCACTAGACATTACAGAAATCACAGAAAGTATTCTGTTTTAAAATTTAAGAATGCATTTTAGAAATTCTAATGTTATTCTATTTAAAGTTAATTTGGGGCCAGTTACAGTTTTGCCTTGATTTGTATTATAGATTTGCCTGTTATCCAACCTTGGCTTTTTGTTGTTGTTGTTGTTTAAAAAATAAAAATCCATCAAATCACTGAAATTGAAATGATCCCAAGGGCTGCCAAGGGATGCGATGGAATCACCATCCCTGGAGGTGTTCAAGAAATGTGAAGAAGTGGTACTGAGGGACATGGTCTAGTGGGCAATATTGGTGGTAGGTGGATGGTTGGGCTGGATGACCTTAGAGGTCTCTTCCAACCTTTGTGTTTCTATAACTCTGTGAAGTAGTTCTGCTATCAGCAGATCAGCATTTGCTGAAGGCAGAGCAGCCCTTCTAAGGCATCTTGACAATTCCTAGCATTACAGCCATCTGTTCCTTGTTATCAGCATGAGCTCTGCAACTCAACAGTTGCGCAGCTCTGGGCTCACCCAGGTGGACAGTGATGTTGAATCAAACTCTGCTTGTAGCTAAGTGCAAAGCTCTCTGCTCTAGAAGCAGAATTTTGTGTAACAATCAGGTCGGACTCCCTCTTGCCAAGCAAAGTTGAACAGAGGAAATAATTATCATTTTCTGATCATGGTGGAAGCTACGTTTCCTCCTTCACAAGTTTTTTATAGCTCAATTTCTGATGCTTTTAGGCTTCCCATAAGCCCCTCATGGTTACAATCATTTCTTTCCTGAATCAAATTTAAACCAAGCTTGTAGAACCTGTGAGTTCTGTTCCTATTTCCTTCCTTTCCTTCACAGTAGCCGAGGAGCACATTTAACATGTCTAGCACAGAAAAAAAACCCAAAACAAAATAACACTGCAGTGGTGCAGGAGCAGTGTTAGAGCAGCAATTTGAGTAGAACTTTGCTCTGAAGGCAGAGGAGAATGTAGGTCAGCACAACTCAACCTGCGCTGCCTCCTGGTCAGAACAACAGGCTTCAGGGCTGTGATCCCAACACTTTCTGAAAACTTGTTTTGTATTTGATGGAAAAAAGTGTAAGGTCAAGTTCAAATGTATTCCAGATGGAAATGTATATTAATATACATAAATATATATAAAACATATATATATATTCAGATGAACAATAGACGACAAGTCTGCCTAGAAAGAGTCAGGTGCAGATCACTGATTTAAAGCTATTACTAGGCTCAGTTCCGGTGCCAGACAGGGCATTAGTAGTTTTATGTACAAGCTCAAATTAATATTGTCCAAGTCCGATAGTTTCCCTGAAAATATGAAACTGTTCCTGTAAACCTGATCACAGACAGGAGCCCAGCATAGTGGGGCTTTCAGTCTGGGGCTCAGCCTATCCTCATGTTCCTATGAGAACGACAAAGTTAGTCTGCCTTTACAGTTTCCACATTAGTCTTCTTAATGTTCTTGCATTTTCACTTTCTGGCAATCAGAACAGACCAGGATTTACGTTTTGGAGGCATCTTTATTTATATACACAAAGTGGAGGAAGCTAAAATCTGTGACACTAAAATATAGTGTTATTGTCATTTCTTGTCCTCATTTTCCATCACTGAGTGCTGGAAAATAATACAGAACTGTTAATACTGGGGAAATAATACAGAAAATGTATGGAAATTCTGCCTCTAAAAATCAAAACATTATGTTCAAATAAGATATATTTTTTCCAACTGACAAAAGATGGGCCAAAAGGTATAGGCATGGGCTGTCTGCCTTGTATTACAGCTATGCTATATATAAGCAGACTCTATTGCATCCACCCAGATTTGTTATGGCTGATAAAAAGTATTTTCCCCAACTGTAAGCACATGTGCAACATTGGCTTGCCATTGCCATGCAGAAACAGGGCATCCCAGGAACACCTGGACAGCTGACTTTTCTTGGCCTGCATTGCTGAACCTACCTTGGACTTCATGTTTTCCTCCGCTTTGCTTGCCACTAGAGATAAAGACGTATCCCCTGCAAGGCAGGAGACTCATTTTCACAGCGCAGCGTTAGCTGGAGGACATGAACCAGTTGCAGCCCAGTGGGATTATGCTTACAAATGCCATTTCCCATGGGCTGTGTACTAGGTGGCATTAAAGGGTTTAAAATATTCAGGTTTCAGGAGAAGCCTAGCAAAAACAATTAGCGCAATGGAATAGATGGTAGAAATCATCTAAAACCAGTGGAAAGGGCAACATCTGAATTGAGGCTCTCTTCTCCACTCTCAGCTGCCCACCACCCTCCTCCTGGGTGCCCTGTTCATAGCTTTAGGCACACTGCTGCCCTGCCATGGGGAGCTACCTGCCCCCAGCTCCTGCCAGGTGCCTTTTTGCCTTACGCTTTTGGGATGGTGCTATGAAATTCTATCTGACCTTTTCTTTTTCTCTAAAAGAGGACCTGAAATCCTTTTGGAGAGCCTTTGTCTTCAGCTGATCTTTTCTTCCAGCAGCATGTTTAAAGTGGCACGGTACCTCAGTCACGTCTATCGCCTGGAAGAAGGGGGAAGTTCCCCTGTATGTCTAACCTGGATATAAGAACTAAAAGGCAAGAGCACATGCAAATGCTACACCTCGGTGTCAGCATGTTTTGAACACTCGTCCTTAACATCCTCATTAACGTGGGGCCTTGGAATATTCTAAAAAAAAAAATATCTGAGCCTTTCCAAAGCCAAAACAAACAAGGAAACTAGACCGGATGAGTGCTGGTCCATGAAAGAAACATGCTGTGGCATTTGTACTGCCTGCAAAGCTGATATTTATCACTGTCAAGTCAAATTTTCAAGACCAGTGGCCAATACACTGTGAGATAATTCACTGTACTCATGGAAGGGCAGAAAGCTCACAGGGCAGCTCAGGAAACATTAGACTGGATATGTGCCTGATCCCATGGAAAGGCCCCTCTGCAGTCAGTCTGTCTAGCTGGGTACCTGGGGATGCTCCAGCTTTTAAGGGGGCTGGAGGCTGTTGGCACAGGATTAAATGAAAATAGTCTGCCTGGCCCAAAAGAGATCGATTCAGCCTTCTGCTTTTCTTGAGCAGCCTCAAAAGCTGAGATTCCTGTAGAGCTCAAACATAGTATTAAAGCAATTTTTTTTTTCCTGGCAGAAGCCCTGTGAGCCCAGTGTTTCCAGCACTCCCATTCTCCCCCAAGGAAACCTCCAGACTCTGACATAGCCAGGTGTATGCCATCTGCAGGGCTTAGAGCAGCCAACCCAATATCAGGCTCACCAGATTTCCCTTTTAAATCAGGAGCTGAATAAAATCTCAGATTCAAATATCCTCAAGCAATGGGCCCCAAAAGCTAGACCCAGATCTTCTGCCCACTTCTTTGCTTTACAGGGATGTCACAGCAGAGGTTCAGTATTACATTAATTCCATATGTGCATAGAGATGAAGATATTTATAGCCTGGGAGTGATTCATGAAAGCAACCACAAATTCCCCTTTAAACTTTTAGGACTTCTAATTAGAAGTATTAATTATTTAACAGAAGCCCACGTAGAAAGCAAGATCCATACTTCAGTTATTCTGTCACAATTTCAAGCCCTTGGAATTCATTTTACTGTGAAAACTCACCCAGCCTATTTGCATCATTTTGCACTCTGAGCTGGTTGTCTAGACAAATGACAACTACAATTCACTTTGCTCACAGTGCTATCATAACCTAATTTGAATTGCCATTCCATATAAGCAGTACCTAAAATCAGATGTTCAGGATTCATTTGAAAATAAAATAGTAAAAAAAATGGATGACCAGACTAAGACAGTGGGAAATGTAAGTCAAGAGTACAATGCTGTTAGATGTGAAAATGAACTGCTTACATTATACTACTCTCATTCACATGCTATTTTGTTGCCCTCCTGTTGTTAATTACTCTTAAGCCACTCCAGGAATACAAGAAACGATTCAGATAGATAATCAAAGCCAATTAATGAGATTAAAAATAATGCATTTTTCAGTTTCTAACATAAGAAAAAAGTATTTTCATCTATAGCATTAGTATCATTTTAGATGAAAATTAATGGCATTTACCCAACTGCCACAGATATCACTGAAAGAGAGTACATCAGGTTATTTCAGCCCAGGAATGCATCACTCATTGTTACCACACTGCTAAGTTCATACGAACTCTTTAATTTTCTTGTACCTTTTTGAAATTTATTTATTTTTGAGAGGTACATCCTCTGTACATGTAAGCAGTCAGTAGATCTAAGACAATTAGCATGCATATTTGCGTGGCAACAGCAGTAAGTGAAATGCACAAGGCCAAGCCTGGTGTTTTCTTATGGAATAAGGAAGGAAGTCTGCAACCATAACAGAAGAACGAAGAGGGATGAGTTTTGCTTGGAACGTGGTTATTAAAATGAAGAGCTTTGCCTCACAATGTTCCTCTTTCTGGCCAAACGTTTTACAGATTCTGATTCTTTCTGGACATCCATCCACCCAGAGCACTGGAGTAAGCACAACGTCTGCGAATGGCTGCAGTTCTGCTGTGACCAGTACAAGCTAGATGCCAACTGCATTTCCTTTTCCCATTTTGATATCAGTGGCTTACAGCTGTGCAACATGACCCAGGAAGAGTTCCTGGATGCTGCAGGCATTTGTGGTGAATACTTGTATTTCATCTTACAGAACATCAGGATGCACGGTGAGTGGTCCAGAAGCCAAATGCAAAACAGAAAGCAGTGCTTTTTTGTGTGAAGTTTTTGCTAACAGAATATGTGGGATTCGTGCTGAAGAACAGCAAAACATGAGGGCCACTTAGGTATTGGCCTACATAAGCTGTAGGAGTAGTTTTCAAGAGACTGAATAAGGAAAGAGTGATCTAAGCTGAAAAGAAGCTGCAAGTGATCTTTGGAGAGAGAAGCAGAGACACATGAGTAGATGTGATGCAAAGGCTAAGGAAAGTGGAGAATAAAAACAGATCAAGAAGTGGAAACAATAAATCAATTTAGCAGTGGAGAAGTTGAAAAATTATTTCACTGATTTCAGTGGTTACTCTTCTGAAGAAAAGCACTGAATGCTGGGTTGTGTTTTACTTTCATAGGCACGTCCTTTTTTACTGACTTAGAAGAAACAAAGTTATCCAGCAAGGACTGTAAGTAAACATGATCATACACACTAAGTTGCATTCAATGGAAAACACATTTCACAGAAGTTCCCCTCTTTTGTTACTTTTATCCCACTACTATTTACCCCATGAAATGAATTTGTAGGTCTTAAATGTTAATTGCTTTCACGAGGTTTCACCAATCCCCCTTCTGTAAGCCCCACAGTTGCGTTAATTATTCACTTGCTCTTACTTTTGTGCTGGAGTTCTATTCAAGAGATAAAGTTGTAGCTCACACACCCTCTTTGACTTAATGTTGCATGGCGTTTGCATAGGTGACCTTTTGACCAAGTTGCCACCAGACTCAGGAGTTCCTTCTTCACTTCTCACGTTACTCTGCAGTTCAGTCCCAGTGCGTGATAAAGCATGCATGAAGACAGGTGGCATCAGCAGCCAAGAATGTCACAGTCATGGTAGAACAAGTAAGTACATATCTGAAATTCAAAGTTCAAGATTACACAAGCTATGTTGCTCTAACTCTTCAGCTCCATGTGGTTATCAAAAGAAACCTTAATGATACCACAAATAAGTAAAATTTCACCGAGGTTTGGCTTTGAAGCATTGCCAGCTCTTATGATTTTATCATGAGACTTGAGGTACTTGGCATTTTTCTTAAAGCCACATTTCTTTTTCTATTTACATGTTTAAAGTGCTTCTGGCCAGTGCTTCTAGCAGCAGAATGACTGAAAACCATCTGAAAATAACGTGAAGATTCTAAATGCAGAGAACCAAATAAGAAACCTCAGATATTATTATAACTTTCATTATTCCTATGTTGCTCTCAGGACTTTGGAGGGGGCTGACTATTTTTAAATGCTTGGGGTCAAGGTTGGGATCAAACATTCATTCATACGTCACTTCATTAGCATCCAGCTAATCGGATATTAGGAAAAATTTCTTCTCTGAAAGAGTGGTCAGGCAGTGCCACAGGCTGCCCAGGAAGGTGGCTGAGTCACTGTCCCAGAAGGTGTTCAAGAAAAGCTTAGATGTCGTAGAAAGGGACATGGTTTAGTGGGGAAATACTGGTGGATGGTTGGGCTGGATGATCTTGGAGGTCTTTTGATGATCCTATGATTCTAATCTGAAGCTAAGGCAATAGCTACACCTGCATTTTCTTTTTTCTTTTTTGTTTTGTTTGTTTGCTTTTTAGCTAGAGTCCTGGGACATATGATGCACAAACACATCTCTGAGCTAGGTGAAACAATAGGAAAAGAAACAGTCTATCAGTGCTGGAAAACTGGCACTTGTTATCTCAGTTTTAGCCAACCCAGTCTTTGTTACAATTTCTCCCTTGAAACACTTGAGATTAACATTAAAAAATTTTTTTAAAGCACCAATTTAATCCCTGTGTTAAAATTGTCAATGATAAATGGAACAGAACTAATGAATGAAATAAATAAAACTGTTCTACAGTAAAATTCCTGGAGTAGAAAACAGATTCTAGCACCATAAATATTTGTAAAGCCTTTAACTGATATTTTCTTTAGCACTTCTGCCCCCACCCCCCCCTAATTTCATCTATAGGGAGGCAAGGCATTAACATTCTGAGAGTTGAATTGAAATAAGTACAAATAGACAACAAGAATAACTAGCTGGTGACAAACATAAATGTAATTCTGCCTGAGTAAGAAAACATCTACTGAATAGCTGTCTTCTTCCTGTTCAAGACCTGCAGAGTTCACATTTGTGGGAATTTTTAAGAGACCTCCTCCTTTCTCCTGAAGAAAACAGTGGCATTCTGGAATGGGAGGACAGGGGACAAGGCATTTTTCGAGTTGTCAAATCAGAAGCTCTGGCAAAGATGTGGGGACAAAGGAAGAAAAATGACAGAATGACATACGAGAAACTGAGCAGAGCACTTCGGTGAGTTAATTGGTGGGAGGGTCCCTCACCTCACTTGAACTTCTGCCTCAACATCCATTTCTCATTACTATCCTGAAAATTTATAATGGGCAGGTGGGGATTGGTACTTCCTGTTTATTCTATAGGCCCCGAGAGAGCACTCAGTCTCCTTTACTTCACATAGGATCATAGGGCTAGATGTAGAGTGGTAAACTGGTGCAACCAACTCTACTTATTGCAACAAAGCTATCACATTAACTCAGCTGAGAATTTGGACTATATCTGTAAAATTACCCTTTTTATTCCAGTAGAAACATATGCAGTTTCTGCTGAATTGTAATCTTACTTAAAAATACAGCTAACAAAAAGGCTTTGTATTCCTTGTAATTTTCAAGCAGTGGAAGGAATAATCCAAGGCACCTGAGAAAGCTGAAAGCTCTTTTAAGTCACAACAAAGCAATTGAATGGAAAGGAAGACTGGGAAGAATACAGTCTCCCATTCTATTCTCTGGCTGTGATGTCTATGTAAAGAACTCCTGTAATCTGAGTTCTACTACTATTTGCTCCATTGCTTTTTTTTTTGTTTATTTTCCCTGCAGATACTATTATAAAACAGGCATTTTGGAACGAGTAGACAGAAGGCTGGTGTACAAGTTTGGGAAGAATGCCCATGGGTGGCAGGAGAACAAGATATGAACTGCTCAGTGCTTCCACACACGCCCAGCACAAAACATGCCACAGTCTGGATGGTCCAGCTGCAGTGGACACTTGAGAGAGAGGCTTTCCCCTCCCTTTCTCCCCTCAACCCATCTGGACGAATTCATTGGAGTCTGCTACAGAAGACAGGCTACAGCATCAAAAAAAGCACTTGAATTTTGGAGTCATTTCTGCCAAGCACTGTCTGCTAGCAAGTCTTTAGGAATATCTTTATCTGCTGCTCAAGTGACAATTAAACACTGCCTGTCTCCCTGCCTCAGCCAATAATGTCACTGACCAGTATGATATTCCTCCCTGTTCTGCTGCCATTTAAAGGGGAATATTTAGAGACATTTCCCAGTTATGTTACAATATTTCTAAAGAATGTAGAAAAGCTTCTTTTCCATTTGATGAGAAAAACACTCTTCTTATCCATTCCAGTCTAAATCACTGCACTTCTCAGATACGCCAGAAATCCATGTGTTGTCTAAAACGTACAATCCACTCTCCTCTATGTGCCTGGATTTAATATGTCCAGTCAACATAGTTAACAAAAAAATCAAACTCAATTCTGAAATATATGTATCAAGTAATTACTGCCTTTAGCTACTAATTCCATCTGTGCAAAGATATAGAACAACACGCGCTTGATGTATTTGATGTACTATTTTTTTCATGAAGGTGAATTCAAGTTACTTCTGCATTAGGAAGAAGTAGTTCTGGATAGGGTACAAGAATTTGCTGAAGTAGATTAGTTTTGAAATGTAAATTAATATTTGTGGAGAGGTTTCTAAAGAGCTTTTGCCCACATCTGTGCAGACATCAGCTGAACACTTCAGAGCAGTTTACGACACAGTGTTGTACATATACCAGTACAATTAATGTGTGGTGTGTGCCCTCAGCTGCTCCACAGCCCTACAATAAGCAAATTTGTTAGAATGGAAGGCGGTATGTGAGAATTCAGCTGCGGTTTTTGAAAGTATCATAACTATTCTGTAGTTTTACCAGGTTTGCTTCTTCAACATAATAAATTTAAGCTACAACTATAAATGTATCAACTGCTTTAGGCTTACCCCAAGTGGCATTCAGGGAAGGTCAGTGGGCTTCTAAACTTGCTTTCCAATGGACAACTCTGCACACATTACTCTACATAATCCCAGTTCACTGAGGACTTCCTTAACCCTAAAGCCTTTTTCTTGCAATTCAGAAAACCATGGTATTATTTGCAATAGGAATTAGCTTTCATGGCAAGTGTCTGTTGTAAGAATTAGGATTATCAAGCCAAGAACAGCTGCAGCAACCCCCATTCCAGGCACTGCACTGCATGGGATTACATGGGCAACAGCTGGGATGGAGGATGGTGATTACTGACTTCAGAACCAAGATCATGCCCCAGCACTACCAACAGCCTGCAAAATTCACATTAGAGATGACTACTAATGAGGTTTCTTCCAGAAATTATGCATATTTATTTGGAAAGACTCCTCTTTCTCCTATTTTTCAGCCATTTGTTTGTTTTTATCTGCATAACAGCTACAGATAATCTTTCTGGGAAATAAATTCCTTAGGGATACAAACACAGCATAAAGGGCACTCTGTGAAAAAATGCTCAACATTTATTGCAGCTGCCTGTTTCATAATATGGGAAAACAGCTTGGTTGAAGGAAAAATAATCAGTCACAACCAAAACAAGGCACTAAACTTGACATAGAAACATATCTCAGACCATGACAAGATGAGAACTGAGGGATGTAGATTTTCAAATATATCTAACACCTGTGTAATTTAGGTAGTAAAACATAGTACAAATATTCTGTTTAGGCTTCTAACAAAAAAAAAAAAATCAAGCTTTCAAAATCCTTAAAACTAGCAGGAGTTACCATCATTCCACCACCACTACCTGCAAAACACAGCCAGGTGGCCCTCTTGTGCCACGTCTAAAGGAGATCAACAAGCCTTTAGGCCCCAATTCGATTATAAATCATAGAATTGCAAACAGCAAAATGCTATTTCAGATATTGTTAACTACAAGTCCAAGCACATGGTGCAGAACACTTTGGAAGGGAGTGACCTGTTTAAGCATAGCTTAGAAACAACCTTATAAAAATCTGAAAGTTTTAAAAGGGGTCAACTACTGTAAATTGTTAGTGTTGTAACTCTAATGGCACTGTGATAATCCATTATCCAACAGAGTCTTGCAGGTGACTTCAGCCAGGAAAAAAGATTGCCCAGCTGTTCCTTCACGCTCATGAATGCAGTATAGAAACAACAAAGCAATTTAATACGCTTCTCCCAAGGCAAATAACATATCTATTTCTAAAACTAAAGCAGAGCAGAAAAACACGCAGTGTTATTTTTCATACATTGCCTTCCATTGCCACTGAAGGCATCAACTGGCAACAGAATCAAGATCCTAAATGGCTACATATAGAAACTGTTCACCTATTGATATTTACAATGCCAATGCAAATGTCCATTTTTCAAATCTCCAAGGAGATTGCAAAAGCCATTTTATTCAGAAAGAATTAAACCTAGCATTATTACTAAGGCTCTCAGCCAAAAAAATACACCATCTTTGCCTACCTAATATCATCCTAAACTGTGAAAAGGGAGCTCCCTCTAAGGCAGGCATAAGCATTGCACAGGATCACTGTGTCTTCAGAAAGCATGTAATTCTGCACACCACCTTTGTCACAAGGAATTACCTTGTGAAGCATCATTTAAGATGAATCACAGCTTCTCAAGAGAAATCCTGACTATCTGCATGAAATGACAGAATTTGTCAGTCTCCAGCAATATCTAGGTTAGACCTGCATTCTACCTGGTTTGGAGCAAAAATCAAACCCAGACGTCAGCCCTTCCACATGCCAGAAAAGCACCTTAGCCTATTTCAACAATAAATGATATACGTTTTACTAATTGCAGCAAGGATTTCAGGCCGATTACGCCCCTAGACTTCACATAAATAAACGAGTTCAGTTCCTCTATTTAGGCATGATGATTCCCACCTCTACCTGCTTCTAGCACAGAGTAAATGCAGAGGCCAAGGACTTTGTTATGAACCACTGCACTCACCAGTACAACTTGGAAGAGCCTTAGCTCTCACAGTCTGTTTCTTAAAATCCTGCCAAATCTTAACAAAATAGAAGCCTGATTATAAGTCAGCTACTTTCTGTCACAAATTGAACTATATGCATTGCATATTACTGCTTCAAGCTTGGGAAAATACTATATTTCTAAGCTGTAGTTTCTTTGAAGTTCACTTTACAAGTTCAGAAGATGGCAAGTTTGAGCAGCCTGATCTCAAAGAACGTGCTTTGAAAGTTTTAACCTTGTCCTGGAGGCACAAAGTGCAAGAAGTGAGTATGCTTTAGTTTCTATCGTGAGATCCAGTTAAATCATCTTCAAACTGAGCTACAGAGGAATTAGGAATGATTGTGTGGAACATTTCTTACCACATTTTCCCCAATACACAAGTTCTCATTAAACAAGAAAGGAAATCAAACATCTAATTAAACTATTATTCATAATTATTATTTTTTTCTTTTGCTCTGCTATTAGTAAGCAAGGACATAACCTAATTATATTACCATGAATATATGCTGTCGCTTCTCAGAATCAATATTTTTAAGCAAGATTTAATTCAGACTGAATGTTGGAGTGACATTCTCATACTGACAATTTTCCAAATACTTACTTATTATTTAAACAAAACATTAAAGTCATAAAGGGGAAAGCTTCAGAACAAAGTTGGCTGTTCATCCAGTGAAAATCCTGTAAGGGAGGATTTTCATTCACCCTAAGGAGGCTTCTTCAGCACTACTTATTCCAAAGAGCTTGCATACAGGAGCTGCTGCCAGGCAAATATTAGAAGAATTGTCATCTGAAATGCTAAGTCAAAGCAGCATGGGAACAGGAAGAAATTTCCTTTGTCAGCTCCAAACACATTCTTGGTTGTTCTGTCCCAAGCCTTCCATGCTATATGGTAGGTCAAAAAAGGAAAGCAGTGATGAATTTCATGCAGGTCCAGCTGACCAGAATTTCAGACCAAGAACAAATTCTAGACTTGGCTTTACGTCTTTGAGGGCCATATGTTGATTTTAGCAAATCAAGATGACATCTACATGGAAGAAGAAGGAAGATGAAGATGTACTTTATTTATTCTCAGCAGTGTGCTCACTAGTAGTCATAGCTGCTGCTCTCATCACCCAGGTGGGCTTTTTGGCTTCACCCAGCCAATTATTCTCCCATCCATAGGAAAGCAGGGACACAGAAGAACAGCAGTACAGGACACTGCCAACATTTTACCTTCAAACATGCAGCACTTACCTTTAGCGATCTCCAGGACATGCAATGCATTTCAGACCTATGAGGAAGCTATTTCCATCCACATCCTTTGGGAGGGGGGTGGAGAGGAAGGCACCAAGTGTTTCTCTATCACATTCTGCAGCAAAAAGTGCAGCTCCTGGACTAGATGTACGAGTAAGGCAATGTTTGATAGGCAGCACAGCATCAGAAATGAATTATTTTCTGTGCAAAACTGAAGCGGAACAGAATAATCATTTTTTGAGTTGCATGGTACTGAGCATTCCTTATGTTAAAAGGTTGCAGACATCTATCTCATATTTAATTTACTCTTGTATTCCAGAACGATCACTTGCTCCTAGGAGTGCAATTTCGCATTTCAAATTCTTAACAGCTGTTTAAGAGAAACTGACTTGCAATGCCAGAATTCTCCATCAGAGGCCACAGTTGAGCTAAAACAGCGTGTGCTGCGATCTCAGCCAGAGCTCCAGCGCCCTGAACGCTCACAACACTTTCACACACACTCCTACCATTCTGCCTGGAATTATTTCTTCCTCCACTTTGAAAGACTGCTATGTGCAGTAAATTGTAATAAAAGAAAACCAGGCAGCCAGGTCTGCATTCATAATGATTTGTATCTCACCACCACTATAAATACTGTAAAAATATGGAAAATGGTAACTTTAAGGCTAAGGCATTTCTTGGCACTTTGCATGTTCAAAAATCTTAGGACTATCAGTAGAACATATGTTGCTGTTTACCTTTTGATTTTAATCTCCTAAACAAAAAAGTCCTTCTACTGTTGACATTTAATAATCTTTGATTCTTGAACACCTCTGGAAATAAACTGAGAGTTTGGACTGCAAATAAAATCAGGTGAGAGAAGTAGAACAAGAAGGCAGGTAGAAGTGTAAAGTTACATAGTTGTTTATACAAGTTCAGTTTACTCTCAGGAATG